GCACAATTGAGGCCATGATTGCCGCGCAGCCTCATTGATTTCAATGGGGTGACATGCGCGCGGCAATCGGAGAAAAAAGGTACATGTACCTTTCTTTTGCGACACACGATTTGTGTTCAGAAGCACGGGTGGAATCGCGGCAGGAAACTGCGCAATCCACCCACGGTGCGATCGGTGCACACCTAGGCGACTCCTGCACGATTGCTGTGCGGGGAGGTGTCGCTTAGGTGTGCATCAGCCCTTATAAAACATACCCCCCTCTCCATTTGTCATTCCCCTGCTTGCTAAATTAGGCATCGTCGGTCCGCCAGATATTGGCTACCGACAATAACTTCAAAAAAAATTGAGACCGCGAATGACATCATCAACAAAACAATCAAACATTCAACACATCCTCAAACACACCCTCTAATTATTTGCAAGCAAAATCTGCATCTTAAGTGGGATCTCACAGGGGAAGAAGCGGGCCCGTGTATTCATTCGTGGCTGAAGATTTAATTAAAACACAAATCTTGATTTTAATTAGCGAGCCGGTGTGTTGTGAAGTGTTATTAGCTGATGTGAGGTCTATCGTGAAGTTCATTGTGGAGAGAAAGGAGGAAGATTTAATTTGGCTCCTGGTCATGTGTTGCATAAGGGTGGCGGCTAAGTAGCGGCGGTGATGAGAATGGTCGCCTTAATTGCGCTATTCGTTGGAGATAAAGGTGGGCGTGGATTATTTTAACCCGCGGCCCGTAGGTGGCTCCTCAATGTTCAGTTGAGAAAACAACTATTTTCTGTAGAGCCAGTCTTTTTTTCTCTGCCAAAGCCCTCGTGCAGGATATCTGCTTTGCTCTAAAGACTGAGCCCCCGTTTCTTAAAGGGGTCTAGTTATAAACATTTTCATTGCTTATTTGTCCAGCAAAACTTCATGTACGTTCCTCCTGTGCAGGATCCAGCTGCCCATGATGCCCCACACTCACATGAAGTGGGCTGAATGACCCTGGGATTCAGAGGACCAGAGCTAGATTGCAAAGCACTGAGTCTGTGCAGCGGTGGACCAGCCCAGAAGAGGACAGGGGAATACTCTTGTGGGCCCAAGTATGTGCCCTTAGGGCCCATTCACACCACATTCAGATCATCTCCAGACCAGAGCAGATTGTTTCCAGATAGGGTTGCCACCTGTCCAGGATTCACCCGAACAGTTCGGGTTTGGAATGCTGTGTCCAGGTTTCATGGCAGCAGAAACCCGGACACAAGATGTCAGGCAGACAAGGGGCAACCAAAATGAAGATAGGGGCTACTGGCCCCCCACTGAAAATAGTCTCAACTATGATAGTTACATATGAATGGGCGGCAATTTTTATATATGAATAAGCCGCGACTCATTCTCCCAAAAAAATGTCCACGCGCCGATTGAGTGTTCGGGTTTCGCTTGAAGAAAAGGTGCCAACCCTATTTCCAGACTCAAAATGCATCCTAATGTATCCCTATGCTATTTCTGGCCTCTGTTCACACCAGCGCAGTCTGTTCCAGACCAGACCAGACCAGAAAAATACTGCATTTCTCATTTTGTTTGGTCTGCGGGCAGGTTCACACCATTTTTTTGGACCGATCTGCTCCGGAAAATGGGGTGAACCTGCCCTAAAAAATGAGGTAAGAATTACCTAAAGGGGGATCTTGCCCAGTCTCCTAGTAGAAACTAATAGATGGAGCTGTAAGATTCTACACATCATACATCTTCGCCACCTAGCTGATGGGAGATGGCAGCAGAGTACAGTCAAGTATCCGGGCCCTGTGGTATGTAGAAGGAAGAAAAGACCGGTGTTCTATCAAAGGTTATGACTAAGTTGGAATGTGTGACACGGTCACGTGGTCACACATTTTAACATAACCACGCCCACTTTTTCGGCGGTGGAATATGGGACCGGCAAAAGGTGAAGAATTCCAAGCTTTCTCAGTTGTTCTAGGGCAGATCGGCATCGCAGATCGGCATCACAGATCGTATGTGCAGGAGAGCCGATCTGCCTGGAACAGCTGATCAGTCCTGAAATGTCACTTATATCTGACTTTGTGGAATGTGAGATCGCAGTCACAAAGTCGGATAGAAGTGACATTTCAGCTGTTTCAGGGCAGATTGGTTCTCCTGCTCATACGATCTGCGATGCCGATCTGCCCTGGAACAGCTGAGAAAGTGTTGGAATTCCTCACCTCCTGCCGGTCACTTATTCCACCGCCGAAAAACTGGGTGGGATTACGTTAAAATGTGTGACCACATCACTGGTCACACATGCTAATGCAGTCACAAACTTTGATAGAACACCGGCAGTGTGTATGGGAAGTGGTTGCCCTGGCTGTAATTGACAGCTTCCTAGGTGCCTGGGCCACCTACCTCAATGACATCTGTGGAAGCCACCGGCACATTGTGCTGCGGGAGCCCACGCCACGTCTTCCTGCCTGCAGATAGAGCACCTGCTAATGCACAAATATACAGCAAGAAGTTTTCAACTAAAGTAGTAAACTTGGGATGGATTAAAACACAATCTCTGGATTTTTTTTTTAAAGATGCTTCCTCACCTGTTACAAAAATAAAGAATTAGATAGACAGGCAGACAGACAGACAGACAGACAGACAGATAGAGATCAAACTATGCTAATCTGTACAGTGAATACCACAGGTGGAGATGATACGAGAAGGTGGACGTAGGCTTCATGATGGTGGCAAACACCCAAGCTGAACTATTTTAGCGCACTTTGAAGGTGAACTGATAAAAAACCTGCAGCTACCGACAAGAGATGCTTTAAAGTGGAATTATATTGGAGAGATGGAGTGGCTGCCAAGATTTACTGGTTAGGTCGACCTTCTTGTCAGCTGCGATCACTCTGTTATGAGGCAGATGATCATTGTCATTAGGAGAAAAGAGTAAGCTTCCCATACAGAGTCATTGTAATAATGATAATGAGAGGCGATGGGAAAGGTTATTACAATGCTTGCACGACTGAGTGAACCCTGTACGCCCCGCATCGTCCACAGATACTTCCGCGACCTTTCCAGTGACACCATTGAGATCTGCTCGGTTCACGAAGCTTCGCAAAGAGCGTTTAATACAAGGCAGGCGTTACAGATGATGTGTGCGCTCAGGAGATCAGGAAATGTTGGGTAACATTGTTACATTATGTAGCAAACTTTAGTGGAGACTGAAAATTAAATTATGAATTGCAAACACGGAGCACAAGACGGAAAACGGCTCTGTTTTCAGTTACTCATCCAGGCGTGGCCAGATTAACTCTCTCTGCTGCCCCAAGGCCAGGTTCCTCAATGAGCCCCCTACACGCCAACCCTACAGTAGGGCACAGCAGGTATAAAGACCCGGGAACTTAGCATAGGGATGGTGGGAACTCCTCATAATGGGCACAGCAGGTATACAGACCCGGGAACTTAGCATAGGGATGGCGGGAACTCCTCATAATGGGCACGGCAGGTATACAGACCCGGGAACTTAGCATAGGGATGGTGGGAACTCCTCATAATGGGCACAGTAGGTGTACAGACACAGGAACTCAACATAGGGTTGGTGGGAACTCCTCATAATGGGCACAGTAGGTGTACAGGCCTGGGAACTTAGCATAGGGATGGTGGGAACTTCCCATAATGGGCACAGCGGGTATAAAGACCCGGGAACAGCATAGGGTTGGTGGGAACTCCTCATAATGGGCACAGTAGGTATACAGACCAGGGAACTTAGCATAGGGATGGTGGGAACTCCTCATAATGGGCACAGCAGGTATACAGACCCGGAAACCTAGCATAGGGATGGTGGAAACTCCTCATAATTGGCACAGTAGGTGTACAGACCCAGGAACTCAGCATAGGGATGGTGGGAACTCCTCATAATGGGCACAGTAGGTGTACAGGCCTGGGAACTTAGCATAGGGATGGTGGGAACTTCCCATAATGGGCACAGTAGGTGTACAGACCTGGGAACTTAGCATAGGGATGGTGGGAACTTCCCATAATGGGCACAGTAGGTGTACAGACCGGGAACTTAGCATAGGGATGGTGGGAACTCCTCATAATGGGCACAGTAGGTGTTCAGACCCGGGAAATCAGCATAGGGATGGTAGAGACTCCTCTTAATGGGTACAGCAGGTGTTCAGACCAGGGAACTCAGCATAGGGATGGTTGGACCCCTTATAATGGGCACAGCAGGTGTACAGACCCAAAAATTAATTGTAGAGATCTCACCAATAGTGTCCTCAAGAAACAGAAGTGACTCTCAGTGGGTATATAAATCTCCCTCATCTACAAAACACCTACATCATTATTTCGGGTGGGCTTTAAAGGAAAAGAGGGGCCGTCATATTTTTGACGTTCTCAAGGCTATTAAATTAAGCCACGGAAACATATGGCCGCTTAGCATACAAAACGACTTCTTGGCTGCTGGCACTTTAAGCACATTTAAATAAATTTGATTTCAGAAGTTTGAGTTTTCCAGTCCGCTTCTCCAACTTCAATAAAAGCTCAATCAAGGTAGTCGGAAATGAAACTATTAGAATGAGCAAGAGAGTTGAAAATTCCTAAATGAATGTGTCGTCAATTGTTCTGCAAAGACGGATCATTCCGAGAGTGAATGTCAATGAGGAAAAAGTGAGAAGCGAAATGAGCAGCTGCCAGGGAAAAGTGACAAATGCCTTCCAGCGCCTGATTATATGAGGGATGGAGGCGAGGCTGCGGCCATATTTTATTTTATAGTACTGTAAACACAAGCAACTGACAGTAGCGCTCACTTCTCAAAGTCAGGAAAGGATCCTATCGCTATAAACCGCCGAACGGAGAGCAGAGCATTGTATGACGTTCACCTCGGAGGTCCTACTCTGCCCAGTTATTGGCCAAATGTGGCCACAGAGGGTGGAGATGGGGTCACGCTGCGGTTCATTGTGCTCACTGTGCTCCACCCAAAGCCAAAAAATGCTTCAGATTTCTTCATATTTATAATGTTTTCCCTGTTTTCCCTCCCCAGTGCCTTCCTTCTGGGGATTGGTAAATTCCGCCTGGAATCTATGTGCGGTTGGGAAGAGGCAGTCTCCTGTCAACATAGAAACCAGCCATATGATCTTCGATCCCTTCCTGACATCGCTGCGCCTCAACACCGGTGGAAGGAAGGTAAGTCCCTGCGCCACCGCCGAAAAATCAATCTCAACCGTTGTGCAGAAATGTTTTATTATAATAATACTGAGACACTCTGATCACACAGATCTCTTAAAGCTCAACTCCGGGATGAGCGAATATTGTCCTCATACAAGAGTCCTGTGTATTCTTCCCTAATCTTAGTGAGCTTTGTATATTTCTTCCAGATCTGTGCAGTAATTGGAGCTTCCTGTAACAAAGACCGCTCACTGCTGCTCTCTCTCATTGTGCCAGGTGACCGGTCTTGTCTCCGCCCCCTCCTGTAACAAAGACCGATCACTGCTGCTCTCTCTCCTTCTGCAGGGTGACTGGTCTTGTCTCCGCCCCCTCCTGTAACAAAGACCGCTCACTGCTGCTCTCTCTCCTTCTGCAGGGTGACTGGTCTTGTCTCCGCCCCCTCCTGTAACAAAGACTGCTCACTGCTGCTCTCTCTCCTTCTGCAGGGTGACTGGTCTTGTCTCCGCCCCCTCCTGTAATAAAGACTGGTCACTGCTGTTCTCTCGCCTTCTGCAGGGTGACTGGTCTTGGATGGGACCATGCAACATGGCTGGGGGGACAGTCATCCAACACTCCCAGAAGGGAAGATACTGAGAAGTACAGGGCAAGAGAAACACTATTGGGCATGGCCATACATACAAAAAAAGAACAGATACTGAGAATGACACCCGGCATACAGAACAAGGGAAGTGGTACTGTGCAGAGTCCATACACACAGAATAAGAACAGATACTGAGAATGACACCCGACATACAGGACAAGAGAAGTGGTACTGTGCAGAGTCCATACATACAGAATAAGAACTGATACCAAGAATGACACCCAGCATACAGGACAAGAGAAGTGGTACTGTGCAGAGTCCATACATACAGAATAGGAACAGATACCGAGAATGACACGCGGCATACAGGACAAGAGAAGTGGTACTGTGCAGAGTCCATACATACAGAATAAGAACAGATACTGAGAATCACACCCGACATACAGGACAAGAGAAGTGGTACTGTGCAGAGTCCATACATACAGAATAAGAACAGATACTGAGAATCACACCCGACATACAGGACAAGAGAAGTGGTACTGTGCAGAGTCCATACATACAGAATAAGAACAGATACTGAGAATCACACCCGACATACAGGACAAGAGAAGTGGTACTGTGCAGAGTCCATACATACAGGATAAGAACACACAGGAAGGAAGTAGTACTGAGCAATGCCGATACACATATGAGACATAGTACTATTGTCTATGATGAGTCCTGAATGGAAGTACAATGTCTCCGTACTGCAGGTCACATGACCCTCTGATCTACGCATCAAAAATGACATAAAAAACACCAAAAGACGCTGTTTTCCGTAAACCCTTCAAAACGACCATTTCATTATAAATTCCTCCCGGTATCTGGTAACATAGTAACAGAAAATGGGAGATTAGCGCGCGCTCGCCATCTGTGCGGATTAATGCTCCTAAAACAAAGCGCTGCAGATGAAAGAACGGATTTGGAGATGAAGGATAAAAATATCAAATAGTTGTTGATTTTTCGCCCAGTGGGTTCACTCCTAAAAATTGGAATCGCATTACTTGGGGGACGGAGGGGGGGCGTCTTCCTCGCTACAAAAAACTTCAGCGACGGGAATGCCGGAGATGAATTTGTTTATTAGTGAACACGTAATCGAATTGTACATGATCAGGTTTCCAGCCAAGATTCCAAGGGCCGGGGATACCAAAGTTGACGTTTCGGTATGGAAGAGTTAAAGGGGGACTCCAGGGGGAAATTTAAAAAAACTTACCCTTGCAAGTGGGGCTACCCCAGCCCTGCAAGGGTTAAGTCTGACCAGTATGACAAGAAGACATTTAAAACGTTATTGCAGTTGTAAAGAAAAAAAATGGAAGAACGTTCATTTTGGCATATATTCACACAAAGCGAACGTACACAGGGCAGATTTTTTTTATAAACAGACCCCAAAGTGTGTGTGTAAATCCCCCAAGCAATAAAAACGTGGCAGGTTGGACAGTGGGCAAGAGGTAAGTTTCTAAAGCTGGCCATATGGGTCTCAGATCATACAAACGTTGAGCTATGGGTGGCCCCGGGCAGTGGCGTCACAAGGGGGGTGCGGCCCGCACCCGGGTTACACCCTTGGAGGGGTGACACCAAAATTACTTACAGTCATTTTGGTGTCACCCCCTCTGAAAAGTCGGGCACTCGGTCACGGACCGAACACCCAACAGTATCAGGAGAGTGGAGGGGACCGGCGGCATACCTTATCCCACCGGGTGACTGTCCCCTCCTCTCTCTGCCGGAGTCCATCACCAAGATGGCGGCCGGCAGGTACCAGAAGAC